GTGCTTATACTATTTTAGATTTTCAACAGTTTCACCTACATATTTGGGAAGTTTCTTTGCCAAAAAAACCACCTTACTTTCAGTTCAGAAAGCTACAGAATTCATTAATTTTAAAATAAAAGCCATAGTTAATTTGAATTCCTAGATACACATTTTTCTTACTAAAGGTAACTGTAAGTAAATCTAGAAAATTGCTTTTAATACATTTTACTAAGAATCTCACGTTCTGTCAAAATAAGATGATTTTGTTTATATGAACTGGTCTAAACATATATATGTTTATATAAACTGATCTTTGTTTGCAGACACAGTATGGGAACCCTCTCATTTATGTGACAGAGAATGGAGTTTCTGAAAAGGTACAGTGTACTCAACTGTGTGATGAATGGAGGATAGAGTATCTGAAAGGATATATTAATGAAATACTGAAAGGTAACTTTAAAAACATCTTTTTAGTGCATGAGCTTTTTGAGCGTTTTCACCTTCTGATTATGTTTTACTCCTGTAATTTACATCATAGAGAAATAAATATTTACATATCAAAATGGACAGCAAACTAGACTAATACATTTTCACAAAAATGACAACCTAGCCAACTGTACTGATGCTAATAAATACAATAACCTACATGAGATTTAATACTGTAATAGATCATCAGTTTCCACTTTTAGAAATGAGAAACTGCACCTAATTACCATTCTTATAGAGCCTCTAAGCTCTATAGTACTAAGCCTTAGTACCTCTAAGCTTAAGATAACATTTTTAAAGAATCTAAATTACTTTATACTTTGCCACTTTTCTGTCCTCCTCCCCCGCTCCCCATCTCTTTCTGGTATAAAACAAAACGCTTACAGAACCATATTTTAAGGACAACAAACATCGGCAACAAGTTTAACAGAATAATTTGTATTCTGTTCACAGCTCTAAACGATGGTGTTAATGTCAAAGGTTATACTGCCTGCTCACTGCTGGATAAATTTGAATGGAACAAAGGCTTCTCTGAAAGATTTGGATTTTATCACATTGATTTTAAAAACAAGAACAAACCACGATACCCAAAGGCATCTGCTGACTATTATAAAAAGATTATCAGTGCAAATGGATTCCCAAATCCAAGAGAGGTGATGTCAATTGCTAATTTTATTCTTTTTTCTTTTTCTTTTTTTTTTAATATATGGGCAAATATCACATTGAATTTCATGAAACAACTTACATGAATACGGTATATGAAATTTGTCATTTTGGTTCTGTAAATTAGGGATGTGTTAAATACATAGGCCTCCAGAGACACAGAAAGTGGAAACAACCTCAATTACTGTTTCTAAAGAATTTCACAAACTCTAATGGGACTTACTGATGTGAATAAAAAATCTAAATCGTAAGTTACCAGTGCTCTGTCAGATTTCTAAGCAGAAAATTACACATATGTGCTACCTTATTGGAAAATAATATGGAATATGTATGTGCTTTTTAAAATTTTATTAAACAATTAACTGTAAGAAATATATTGCAATAAAAATCACAAAGATACAAAGAAACTTTCAGAAAATCAGGTGTCGACAGAGTAAGAGAGCTTCAAGTCAATTGTA